GAGTATTGTGTGCAGTTCTGGTGTCCTCAACATAAAAAGGACATGGAACTGTTGGAACAAGTCCAGAGGAGGAGCATGAGGATGATCAGGGAACTGGAGCACCTCCTGTATGAAGATAGGCTGAGAAAGTTGGGGCTGTTCAGCCTGGAGAAGAGAAGGCTGCGTGGAGACCTCATAGCAGCCTTCCAGTATCTGAAGGGGGCTATAGGGATGCTGGGGAGGGACTCTGCATCAGGGACTGTAGAGATAGGACAAGGGGTAATGGGTTTAAACTCACACAGGGGAAGTTCAGTTTAGATATAAGGAAGTAGTTCTTTACTGTGAGGGTAGTGAGGCTCTGGAACAGGTTGCTCGAAGACACGGTAAATGCTCCATTCCTGGCAGTGTTCAAGGCAAGGTTGGACAGAGCCTTGGGTGACATGGTTTAGTGTGAGATGTCCCTGCCCATAGCAGGGAGTTGGAACTAGATGATCTTGAGGTCCTTTCCAACCCTAACTATTCTGTAATTCTATGAAATTTAGTTTCAGTTCTCTAACAGGTAGCCTAAAATGTATGCCTATTGTATTATAACTTTGGCACATGTTTTTCAAGTATATGTGATATGACAGCAACTACAGGTGAAGCCATACTGGCTCTTTTTCGTGAAGTGTGTCAGGCCTTTTAGGCCTACATTGTCAGTGACCTTTCTCTAGCCATGGCTTCATGCATAAAAGCATAAGAAATGCCTTATTGTGCACCTATGGCCTAACTGGACTGGTATTTCTGTCTCAGACAGTAACAGCAGGCAATGCTAGATGGGAAAGGGACATGGTCCTGACCATTTCATGTTGTGCATTCTCCTCATTCCTTCCCAGTGTCCACAGTCATTGGATTAGGATCATAAGGAGGTACACTTGTGCCCATTCCCTTACCTGTTTTGGAACTGTTGTCCATACATTAATCATCTTTGCATAGCATGCTCTTTTCATCTAGCCTGCTGATATTATTGGTCTCTTCAGTCCTACATGACCAGAAATTCACTACTTGCTGTGTTTGTAAAGGAAAGTTACTGCTTTTTTCTGTTTCAAACCTTGCACATACTTTGAGTGCGTGCCCAAACCTGTAGTATTGCAAGGTTTGGTGAGTAACAGTTCTGCTCCCACTTTCTCCACTGCCTTTGTGATTTCGTGGTTCTTAATTGTATCTCACCTACCCTGCCTGTCTCCAAATTAAGGAGAGAAATCTCTTCTTCTAATGCAGCTGCTCCATCCCCCAATTCCTGTTGTACAATTCATGTGCTTGCATGAAACAGCAGTGCTTAAATGTGGATACAAATCAGTCCCTCACTAGCTGCATTTCCCAGCTGTCTGTCACAAGGCAGAGTTGGCTGCCCAGTTAAAGCAGCCATAGCGATCACAGCATAACTTTTTCTTTTTTTTTTTTTTTTTAGCACCTTCTATTTGACCCTTTTTAAAGCTGTAGCAAGCAGATTCCAAGAACACTTGTGGGTTGAACTGCAGCAGCTCTCTGTATTTGTGGATGGAGACTGGCCAAGTCACAGCCATCCCCTGAAACCAGCTGTTACAAAGGGCCAGGTCCTCACTAGTTACATGTGCAGTTTCTGGTCATTTGGGTTATGGTGCTGTTCAGTCAACCTGTGCTTTTTGTGCTGATTGTTGCTTGTCTCAGTGCTGAATGTGTAGAGTCATTTCTTATTTCTTGGTAGTTAGTGTCCTTGCTGTATGTGACAGCATATACAGGGTGAGAATGTGGCCAGCTGCAGGGCAGATAGAAGTAGCACCCACACTGATTTAGGCTATGGCAGTGATGCACTCCATCTTGAGAAGAGGATCTTTAGAGGAATTTGGTGCTGCAGGGAGCATATATCATATCACCTATCTCTAAAAAGGGTGGAGGCCCCCTTCAAGTTGTGTGGTTATCATAAAATTGTCTCTTATATGTTACTCTTCTTGACTTCTGGAAGCTTACTATAGGTTAAGTTGTCTTGGTTTATTAAAAATAATGCAGAGACTCTTTTTAATCCTAAATTGATGAGTTATTTCTTTCACAGATGACTGAGTAGCTCTTCTTGAGACCCATGTTGAACAAAGATCCCTTTCCCAGTTTTAAGTCCTGTAACTGATTTAACAGGATAATGAAGGGAAGGCTAAAATGTTAAATTTTAATATATTGGTAAGAATTAAAGGGTGTAAAATAAAACATAAATAATACTTGGTCTAACTAAACATGTATGACTGTAGTGTCTGGTAAGCAGAAGACAGTGAACAGAAAATTTGCTATATTTTGTCTGTTTTAGAAAAGTAAAGACTTAAAAAATGGAGTGAGAGCAAGTGTTGTTTTTGGCTATTAATAAAAATCACTGAATGTGCCCATGTACTCTGAGCACTGATTTTGGCATAATCGTGTGGGAATAGTGTGAGTTACCATAGTTTTGTGTTGCAGTGCCCCAAATTGTGTAAGGTATGTGCCCCATTTTCTCTTGCAGGTTCTATACACAGAATGCTATGAAACCTGCAGCACTTTCTCAATACATTCTGTATTAGAGTGTCTTTCTCTCTCTTAATAAGAATGATACTTCCCACAGTTGATCTTCCATGTCTCTAGCTGCTGCATTTTCATTGCCAAGAATGTAACCTTGTTCATCCTTTGCATCAAATGGTGTCCTGAAAACTTCATAGGTCAAACTGAGTAATGACTGTATACCAGAATAAACTCTCACAGGCACCTAGTGAAGAACAAACACATACATGGTTGGTCCACTCTTGATCTCTCATCTCTTGTTCTCAAAACACTTTCTACAGACAATCTGAGGAACTAAAATTGTCACCATAAATAGTGGACTCAGCAGAGATACTGTTTTTATGGTGAATGATAATCTTTTTTCCCACTGTTGTGGTTTAAGCCCAGTCAGCAACTCAGCCATGCAGCCCTCGCTCACTCCCCCCCTTCCTCCCCCTGCTCCTGGATGGATGGGGAGGAGAATCGAACGAATGTAACTCCCACAGGTTGAGATAAGAGCAGTCCGGTAACTAAGGTATAACACAAATCACTACTGCTACCACCAATAATAATAATGATAAGGGAAATAACAAGGGAAGAGAATACAACCGCTCAGCACCCGCCGACTGATACCCAGCCCGACTGAGCAGTGATCTATCCCTTCTGGACAACTCCCCCAGTTGCTGTGGTATGGAATACCTCTTTGGTCAGGTGTCCTGCTCTGCTTCCTCCCAGCATCCCCTCCTCCCTGGCAGAGCATGAGACTCAGAAAGTCCTTGGTCAGACTAAACATTACTGGGCAACAACTAAAAACATCCATGTTATCAGTGCTATTCCCAGGCTGAAAGTCAAAACCACAGCACTGCACCAGCTACTAAGAAGGAGAAAAATGACTGCTACTGCTGAACGCACGACACACACTCTTACTGTTTCACACTAGAAATTATCTATCTCTTTTTGTGTAAAAAAAGCACACAACATTCTCCTTCACAGGTACCAGCTGCTTTTTCTCCTGGATGCTTTACCAGTGCCTATCTAAGTAAGCACAGAGATTTTGTTCTCAATATGTACTCAGGAAGGATTCCTGTTCTTGAAAGCTTTTTTTTTTTTTCCAATCATCATATTCAGGCTAATAAAAACTACTTTACACTGCTTTACAAACTCCTTTTACCATAATTTGCTGCTACAGCAATGCTAATGCTGGAAGGAAAAAAAGGTGACTCAGGGCAACTGCTCCCTCTGCTGAGTAATCCTCCTGCCAGAAGCTCTGCCCTTGCAGTATTCATTCAACTCTGCTTTCCCTGCAACACAGTTATGTTGTTGACTCTTGCTTCCTTGTGCATAGTAAAAAAGTCTCTGGGCTTTCAACAACAAAACACTGATTTCTTGGTCACACCAGTGAAAAAGAATAACATTTTAGTATTTATAAATATTAGCATGGAATTTGAGATTTCTTATAGTTATTTTGTTACAAAAGTGGTTTGAGTTTTCTGCATTTTGGTTTATAATAGCTGTGCTTGATGGGAAAAGGAAAAGTGAAAATGAAGGAAAAGGAAAAGGAAAAGGTCAGTTAGTGAAAATACTAACCCATGTCCCTGAGAATGTTGTTTTAGATTTACAGTGGTAAAATAACTTGTCAAGGTAGCTGAAAGGCTATTTTTACTCTATTTAAAAACTACAGTCTGATTTAAAGATTCTTTTATTGTTGTATCTGCCTCTTTCTGTTTCTGAATAACACCATTAGTGCCAGGCCTCCAGCTGGACTTTGTGCCATTGATCACAACCCTTTGAGCCTGACAGTTCAGCAAGTATTCAGTGCACCTCACAGTCCATTTATCTAGCCCATGCTTCATCAGATTCTGAGGCATTTTGAAGACTTGGTAAACACATGCCAATAGGAAAGCAAATCCTTGTTCTTGTAAGATCTATAATGTGTGTATTGTATATTATAGATCTTACAAAGTGTTTCTGCTGAATTAGTTTGATTTTCAGTTTGCAGAGGAATTCACAACTCCTGCTTTGCTATTTCTGCATGGATGAGGGCAGTGTCAGGTTTATTTTCTTATGAAGAGGAAAGTGATCCCTATTCCTTGCATAGCTGATTCAGTGAGTATTAATTCTACTGTTATATAAATTATTTGTACTTTGGGTAGCTAGGCCATCTCTAGAAATGTGTATAAACAATATTAATAGATCAATTTTGTGAGGATTTTGTCTCTACCTGTGAAAAACTTTTGTTTTGAACAGTTGCCCTTTTTGCCAGGATGGATTATGAGTGTATTCATGTGAGTGAACTCATATTACTGTATCACCCTGGTACAGTAGGGGCAGAGAGTTTTGCACATGCTCTTTCTGCAGAATAAATAGCACAAACTGAATTAGTTCAAGGTCCTGAACCTTTCTGAAGGTTCTTGCTTGGTGTCCTATCAATAGCACAAACTGAATTAGTTCAAGGTCCTGAAACTTTCTGAAGGTTCTCTCTTGGTGTCCTAATCTCTGTCTGGCGGAATTAAGAGCTGTTTCTGTGACCAGTATAACTAAGCAACAGTTAGATCTCAAAGAACCAGCTCATCCAGAATGTGTGTGGACTGTCCACACAGTTTGATGTTTTCCAAATGAATTTTTTATCATTTGCCCTGGTCCAGTCGATGAGATCATGCAGGTTGTCTCCAAAAGCCCTCACTGCTGCTTCTTAAGAGATTCTGAGGATTAAGTACACTGAATTGAGGTTTTCCATCTCCTTATCAGGGCTAGACGTGTGAAGTGTCTGGGCTTGAATTGACGCCTCAGGTCCACTTAACCCTTCTTTGTAGTTAGCAAAGTATTTGCCTGCCTTTGAGTGGTGCCCAACAAAACCAGGACCAGAAAGAACACCTTTCTGCCTGTTGTAACGTGCATTTCTTTGTCTCCAGGCTCTCCTCGCCCCCTTTTACATACTAATCTTAATCCTGAAGTTTTTGTCCTTTATGAACTTCATTATAAAACTACTTTATTCTTGAAATTATTTGTATTACAGTTGTGATTGTTTTAATTATGGAAAGCAGTGGACTAAGAGAAAATTGTGAGATTATAAGTGGTGGCCTAAAGCCAGAGAAGGAACTTTTCATTGGGAAGATTTGTACTGAAGGTTTCTATCACTTGTGACCAAGAATTGGTTTAGGAAAAAGTTAGGGTGAGTGGAATACTGAAGAAAATAAGGGAATTTGGGAAGGATTAGTAGTTTTCTTGTCAAAAGGGAGCTGAGAAATATGCAGCCTTAACTTTCTAGTCCTCCATATCAAGAAAAGAAAAATTTACTAATTTTTTCCAGGGAAAATATAAGCAGGACTATCCTGATTCTGCCCCCAAAATCAAACAACTTATCTTTATGTTTCAGTTTTTTCTCTGCAGTATGAGGATAGAGATATTGAGCAGTTTTTGTGAGGTGGTTTGAGAGCTGTAACTGTAAGTGCAAGCTAACACAGCAGTGCTTTCCTTTGATGCTGAATGCTGAGAGCATGATGCAGGACTAAGAAGTTGCTGGATAAATAATAGCATATGATGGTCACAGATAATGACATTTGTGATTTTATGCAATGTGATGTGATTTGTTTTCTTCTATGTTTTTTTTCCCATGGGGGAAAGCAGGCAACTGTTTTTTCCAGTGCTGAGATGTAATCTACAAAGCTGATTCTGACGAAAAATTAGCCCATGATCTCTTGATGAATGATCAAAACAGGTAACAAAATTCAGGTTATTTTCAAAGTTGTTTCTGTGGAATGATTTAAAAATGCCGGATTTTGAACTTGTTTTTAATCTCTTATTTAAATAATGAACTAAATAAAACCCCAATTGATTGACTTTACCTTTGTTTTCCTTTTATTATTAGTTGTTTTCCTAAAACAACAACAACAAAACAAAAAAACAAAGCAGACAAAACAACAGCAAACAAATCCACTGTAAACAATTCAATTTTTAGCTTTTACTCTGATATTCACAGGTCTGTTAGTACCTCTTGTCTCCTTGAGCTACTGCATGTAACAGTACAGTTCACATGGTATCATCTAATAGCTCTGCTTTTTCCTGGAAGTGTCAGATGTCCTGTGTGTTGGAAAAGCCCTTCCATGTGCGTGGATTCTGTAGGTATTTATGGATGTGGAGGTAGAAGTAGACACCAGAGACAGCAAGTCAAAGGGTAAAAGTATGTGCTGAGAGGTCATGTCTGAAAGTCTCCCAAAACCCGATAAACTCCAGAGATTAGTAATCCACAAGCATGGATAAATTAGCATGTGAGTCAGCCAAATCTGTTGAAAACCACCAGCAAACATCAGGATCCACAGTGGGATGTGTGACTCACACCACATCTGAGACGGCGTTGGCTGCTATCTGCAGACAGGAATTAGAGGTGTATATATGTACACACCAGTTGAAACAAGGGATGGCTTGAAGCACTTTCTGAATGTTTGCCTGGAAGACCTTGTTGTATCAATGCAATCTTCTGCTTCTGATGAAATGGCTGGGGTTGGCCTCTCAGCTGTTGCTCTAATCTGGTAACAACAACTTGGTGTGTTGGTGTGCACGTGACTGAGCTGCGTGAAGTAGATGTGTGTAGTAGTACACACTGTGTAGTTCTCTGCTATTAAAGTTAACAGCTTGATTTTATAATTCATAACAGATTTATTAACAAAAAAGTGTTGTAAATAGGAGTTGTGATCTCTGACTTCTTCCAGCTTGAAGCTCTGGCAGGGAAAGGAAAACTTTCAACATGTGCACTGAATAATCCAGAAACACAGATAAATCTGTGTAAGTTCCTCAACAATTCCTGGCAGGTAATGAGGCCAGACGCAGCCTGGAGGACTGGTCAGGGAACTTCAGCTGGCACAGACAGGGTCTGTATGTCATGGGTGAGGCCTGCCTGTACTTCATATATATTCATAAAATTAATTGTATACGCTTATTTATACTAGTCAGGTTACTTTCATGGGTGATACATTTCTTAGGTGCTCTGTGTATGTGTGGTTGGATTTGGCAATCTGAATTTTGGATAAAAAATACGTTAAAAATCTACGATAAAGTATTAATTTTTTCTTAAAATCTTAGTTTTATATTTTATTTATATATATTTATATATTTATATATTTATATGTTTATATTTATTATTATACCTGAAATATATTTGGCACAGGGTTTGCATATTCAAACTTTAAATAATTTATTAAAATACAGGCATTTTATTACTATTTAAAAATTTGATTATTGGATACCTAAATTGTGAGGACAAGAAGCAAGAATGATGTATTGGAAGACAGAAAGTTTTATATGAAAGGAAAGATACCATGAAGTGAAAATAGTGTTGGAATATGTATGAGAATAGACTGGAAGACATGGGCCTAAGCTGGCCACATTTGGGCAGTGGTAGATACTGTTCTCTTTTTCTCTGACTCTTACAGAGAAAACAGGAATTTTTTTTTCTGGAAACATGGAAACAGGAATATTAGACTGGAAACAGGAATATTAGATGCCTTCTTTCTCAGTTCCCAGGTGAGTTTCAACTGTCATTGTGTTAATGCATATGAAGAAAATAATCTCTCTTCACTTTCTGGCTAGCAATAGCAGGAGTAATTAAGGCATGAGGTTTTGTACAACAAATGCTAAAAATACTGGGTCAATGAAAATAGAAGGTTTTGTTCTTTTGTGAAGACTGGCAATATGCTTGTCATGAATAATGGTGTTTTACAGAAATGAAGGATTATTATGTAAATTTGTATTTGTCAGAGCTGCAAAATGGAGACTAAGTACCAACTATGCTGGCAGTGTTATACAGACCTTTGATTATAAAAGAAAGAATTCTGTAGAGCACACCAGTGCACAAGAGACAGGCTGGTTGGAGGAAAAGCTCAAGACTTTTATTAGCTGTAAAGGCAGTTTATTCAAAGAGGTGTTCAGCCTGCTGGGAATATCTATTTCACCCTAGGCATGCTTTTACTGTGTGCTTCACATAGGGCATAGTTTTAGCGGTCCCCTGAAAATTTTAAATCTGCATGAAACATGGCACAAGCTTGCAATGACAATAGGATGGCTTTTGGGAGATCATAGAGCAGCTTTTAATATTCAAGTGCTGTGACTGTGTATTCATCAAAAGAAAAAAATCTGTGGTGAAATCATTAGCCCTAACTTTTAATGGAAAAAGTAAAACCTGTTAGTTCTCGAGATCTTTACAGAAAGATTTGCATTGACTTTGAGGCAAGGATTTTGCTCAGTAATAAAACTAGTAACTAATTCAGGCTTTACTTTTGCTCAAAGGTGATCTAGCAAAGTAGAACACATCTCTCTACAATTCTCAGTATGATGCTTATAAAAAGCCATTTATGGGTTACCCTAAAATTTCAGGGAAACCAAAAAAGATCTGTTTTGTTTGCTAAAGATTTAATTTTCCTTTTACCATTACCAGCATAAATGTAAACACCTTTTGATTAGTGAATAAAGGAAAAGCTGATTTTCTTATTAGCTGTTTCTCTCTTCTTCAGTTCACCCTTTCGTGGATTAATCTAACACTAGAACCCAAAGCATCAAATGTGATATTAACTGGGGGAGGATGCTGTTTTCCTCATATTGCTCATTTATTGTAAACGTCAATGAAAAAGCCCTTATAGAATCCAGCTCTCAAGAAAAAGCCTTTCATTGACAAAAAGTCTAAGTTATTTCAGGATCTTCCCCCTGACTGATCAAGCCACTGCAGGAAATTGAGCAGGGATAAAACTCCTCACAGTGAGGAAGTACTTCCCTTGCTGTGTTCACCAGCTCAAAGACATTTAATGTGCGGCAGAACAGTGAGAAAGATAATGGTGTCTAAGAAAATCAAGTTAACTTCGTAAAGGGGCTCTAGGACAATCACGGGTTGCGTTGCCTTCTGTGATTGCTGCAGCTGACCTTCTCCTGGCCCTTACCTTATGCACTTCCTCCTTGAATAAAAAAATATCAGCTGCATACATATTCAAGAGAAAGGGTTAAATGTTTGTGCTACATTGTTTTTATTACCTAATATAAAATCTTCATAATCTACTTGAGACATAAGGGTCTAATATACTGTACTCATTAGAAGCAGAAAAAACCATATTTTTTCAACATTTGTTTCTGAATTCAAGTTCCTTGTCTTCCATGCTTGCAGGTTGAGTGTGCTAGTCCAAGAAATACGTGATGAGCACAAGGGAGGAAGAAGAGAACCGTTGACACCAAAATCACTGATTTGTTCCCTTCTCTTTGTTCCAGACCAAGCTTCATATCTAGAGAAATAATTTCTCTTCTGTCTTCCTTTGCAAATCAGATTCATACACGAAGCATTCTTTACTGATGCTCTTATCCTATCAGCTTCTCATCTGTAAGTTTGTGGTCCCCAAGACAGATGAGGATCTCGGTGCTGTGCATGTTGTTATGAATCAAAAGAACTTAAGGTCTGTAGGGGGTTAACCTGCTTTTACTAAAGGGAGGTGTTGTGGCAAATGTATGTTGGGTTTTTCCCATGTATTTCCCACATGATTGTGCTTTGATACTGGATACAAGCCCATGAAGAGCTAGGAAGGGTGGGAATTTGGTGACTTGATGATTTTTAATTTCTTCTGCTGTTGTGTGGGTCTGCAAAAAGAGAAAATCTCAGCAGAGCATGCTGGTCAGTAGCAAGGTGAAGTTTGGATAGGGTGAGGGGGCCCTTCCAAGTCTTGTGCTACCTGCTTGTCTGAGTTAAATGACACCTAACCTTGGTCAGGCCTGGAAGGACACTTTTTGTTCAAAAAAAGAAAAAAATGTACACGGTGATAAGACCATTTCCTTTCTCACAGCGTCTCCTTTAATGTCAGGCCTGAAATATGAAGTCATTAGGGGATATTAAAACAGTGCTGACAAACTAATTAACAAAAGACATTACGCCGGATGGGCTCAATTTATCCTTTTTAATGGTTCTTATAAATGGGTGCCGCCAATTAAAATTAATAAAGATTTACCAGCGATTGCCCAGCATACACTGTTAAGAAGCTTCACTGAAGGTCGCCTTAAAGTCAGCCTTGTCAAAGCTGCAAGTTCAGCTCCCAGTACTAAGCCATGCTGAGTTACTTTCGGTTATGTTTTCCCAGGCAGTTTCTCTTTCTTTACATTTGGCTGAAGTTTATATGTTTCTGTCTCTGCCTCTCTAAAACCTCATCCATCTGTTGGCTCTATTAAAAAATATCCCCCCGTGCACTATTAGATTTGTCACAGTTTTACAAAGAAGAATCTCAACAGACAGTATAATGAGAACTTTGTTCTTTCCAAAAAATCTGTCTGTTATGAAGAAATTCTTGACATATAGCTTTCTTTTTAAATGCCCCTTTATTTTATTGCTGTCGAATTAAAGTACAACAGTGTCCCTGCTTAGGGGCAGAGTACAGATGATCAAGAGTGCCCTGTGTGGCTGAAGCTTTGTTCAGCCTGAACCAGACTGAATTCTGCCAGGCCATGCTCTTATGGCTGCTGCGTTCCACCATGTTTGTTGCTCATGTTATGTGAACAAGTAAGTTTAGAGAGAGAGAGCCTTCATGTTGAAAGAATTTCATCCAGCTATGTGGGAAATTAAAACTCTAGCCTTTGATTGGACATTAAAAATATGAATTAGAATTACATCAAGGAAGAAGCCTGTTAATACTGCAGTGGTTAAGAATTGATGACAAATAGTAACTTCTTTGCAATTGGTGCACTAACATGAAAACA